ACTAATAGTTTAATTAAAAATTATTTATGTAAAATTGGAAGCAAAAATAATTTCAACTAAACTCAACAAAATATCATACCTAATTGATTATCACTGTATGCTTATTTCAAGCTAACAATTTGAAAAGTTAAGAAAAAAATTATAATAATTTATTTTTTTTTTTTGAGGAATGGCTAATGGTTTCGGATTTGCACCATCGGAAAGTAATTTTATTGAACCGGGCAAGAAACCAATGAGTAGTATGAGTCCAATGATTGTTTATAATACTAAAACTGGAAAAGTTAGCATTTTCTCATCTTTTTTTTTTATCATTAATTTAAAAATTTAAATGCTATAAATTAATTTGTTGAATTAAAATGCTTTTAATAATTTTAGATTGTAATGGTAGCTGGTGCATCTGGTGGTTCAAAAATAATTTCTGCTTTAGCTAAACCTATTATTCGAGTATTATTTTTCAATGAAACAATAAAAGAAGCAATTGATGCGCCAACATTACACAATCAATTTACGCCAGATATTACTCAATTTGAACAAACTGTACCTAAGGTTTGTTATCATTTTATAAATAATAATATTTACAGGTTAATTAATTAATTAATTAATCAATCATTTTTATTAATAACATTTATTAAATTATTTAAGGAATTGATGGATGATTTGACGCAAATTTTTGGACAAAAATTCAATAAAACCACTGGTTTTGAAGGTATAGCTCAAGGAATTGTTGTTGATGAGGATGGGACAATTTATGCCAATGGTGACTATAGGCGACAAAGTGATATGCATCCTGGAGGATATTAGCAATAAAATTTTTTTAATTCATTCTCTAAATTTATCGTATATTAAAATTTATTCATTTATTTTAGTATTACAATTTTGATGTTTATTTATTGAAAAAAATCTAAATTTTAATCCTTATTTATTAAAAAAAAAAAAAGGAAAAAGGGGAAAAAAGTTTACAATAAGTGTAAAACAGTTTGAATCTATAATAATGTGAAAATTTTGAAAAAATAAAATGAAAGAAAAAATTTTTTTAAAATTCATTTTTGTTTTATATTTCTTTCAAATTTTATTGTATTTTTTTAATGGGTTTCATTTGTTTTGCTACTACCATACATATGTCTAAGAAATATATGACAAAATTAATACTTTCTCTTCTATTATTTGCTTTCTTAACAAATACAAAAAATTAAAAAACGAAAAGATTTTAATAAAATTTCTATTTTCATTTCTTTATTTTTTTTTATTTTCAAAAAAGTTTTCTATTTTTAACTTATATTTCTTAAAAATTAAAAATTTCCTTCTATAATAATAGCACAAAAATATTGAATTATTATTCATTTAAATTAAATAATATTATCTTAATAATTCATTTATAACTTTGCATCATAAAAGAATCCAAATTTAATATTTAATAGTTGGAGAGGTCAACGTAAGGGTAAATAAGGTAAACAAGTGCTATTGCAAGCAGATATCACAGAAGGTCACAATGTCACATTAGTAGACCAAATACGTTGTCTTTCTTCACGTGTCACAAATTTTACGTACGTGTTCTTGCAAAACAAATAAGATTTAGCAAGGTATGACTGACAAGAAAATTCACTTTTTGGATAACAGTTCATTTGGATTCTTTTAAATTCCAAAAATTTGCGAAAGACTGCTGAATTTTTCTGTTTCGTGCCAGGGAGGAATTTATGGAATAATTTGAAAATTAGCCTAGAAATTGTCTTTAATTTCAAAGTTTTTAAATTTTGAGTCTCTTCCTTGGATTGTTACCTTTTTTTGCACCAAGAACATCACTCAGGTATGACAAATATTACAAATTACACCTTTTGTGATCGATCAGGCGCTAAGATTTAAATCGATGATAAGCTCAGATCGTTCTAAAATTGAAATAACCTTTGTGATTGTAGCCAGCCTATAGCCTAGTACTCCATCCCAGGCTTCAAAATTCTTTCCTCCTATTTTGTTTACTGTTATTGAAGTCATTAAGGATTATGAATTTTCCGGTTTTCCGGATGATGATTACTACAGAATTTGTTTTCTCTTTTTTTTTTTTTCAAGATCAATTTGAAATATTCGTTGAAAAAGAATTACAGCGGAAAACATATCAAAATAATCCAATCGAAATCATCTATTAGCAAGTTGACAAAAATTTATTGGCGGTTAAATTTTTGATCGTTAAATGATGCAAATTCCTGATTGGAAAAATATTTGATCATCTGATTTATCTGATTAAAAGAATGTACAGTTGACCTCATTTTCGTTGTGATTTTTCTTTTTTACATGTTTTATTATTAGGAATAGTAATGTCAGTGTTGAATGGTGACAATTGTTCATGAATAATTAGAGCAAAACGATATAACCGGAATGTCCACTATCCGTAATGCCAAATATAATTCAGATATTTGAACATAAAAAAAAGCAAAAAAAAAAAATTAATTTAAATTTTTGTCGCATTTTTGTTTGTTTGTTTCCTTTTTTTGTTAAATTACAATTAGAGCTATTCATTCATTTATGATTAGCCAATCGGAGAGAATTTTGACAAACTTTTGATTTAAACAAAAAATGAACTTTTGAACTTTCTAGGCTCATCTCCACATTGAATAAATATTGCTATTCTTTGGTAAGGTTAGTTAATTCAGAATTCTGACCGGATATGACTGCTAACTTTGTCAATTCCGGATTCATTCTTAAGCAATTGAAACTGTAAATCGTCTGCAGTATACCTTATAAGTGCACTACCATACACTTGCAACTTTGTCACTCACTTACCTGTCGCTAAATGACTCCGTGAAAGCAGGTAGATCTTTCGGATCCGATCAAAGGCTTTTTTAGCTATGATAGCTATGATCTATGATCTGTCGCAGTATATGCAGAACTGTCCCCAATTATTTATACCCGAAGTTAATTTGCCAATAAAATCCTCAGATCATAGCTTTGTTTGAAATTTGCAAAGCTTACAAGTTCCACCTGTCTTTGATCCTTTTTTTTAGAATGAGTTGCCCTTAATCTAATAAGTCTATCCTACCTGTGGGTAAATATATTTACAACACGTTCTCTCAACAGTTTCATCACGGGTACGTAAAGCTTTACACGCCCGTGACAAAAAGCAGTGTCCGTATAGGAAAATATCGTTTTAATACAAAATAATAATTAAACAACGATAAAAAATTAAACAAAACAACTATGTTTATTTATGAATTATTTAAGGATAAAATATCAGCGCTTAATAGTAATATATTAAAATAGGAAAAAAATTGATAGTAATATTAATAATAATTTAATAGTAATACTAAATATAATTGAATTTTAATATTAAAAAATTAAAAGTAATATTAATAATAAAAACTAATAATAATAAAAAAATTAATAGTTTGATTAATAGTAATAAATTGAATAAGTATAAGAAAAAATATCAATGATTAATAATAATGTATTAAAATAGAATATAAGTGTTTAATATTATTATATTATCAATAAGTATGATATTAAATAAGTATAATTAAGAAAAAAATATCAGTGATTAATAGTAATATATTAAAATATAATATCAGTAATTAATAGCAATATATTAAATAAGCATGATAATCATTAAAATTGAAATGAAGTTAATTATTATTTTAAATTCATCTATAATTTTGCTAACAAGTCTATACATAGTTATCATAGCGATATCACTAATAATACATATAAACTCTTATCAGTTCAATTATTGCCATGAAATGAAGAAATTGCAAGCAGAATTGGATGAGTTAATTTAAATTTAATTAGTACTAATTTGATTTTATTTGATCACTTAAATTAAGTATAAATCATTTCAATTCATATTGACCTATGTGATTGGAAAATAAACGCACTGATTGTAAATGAAAAATAAAAATTGAAAGATTGAAATGATAGATTTTCAAATGCTTATAATCAGATTTTTATATATTTTTTTTAAGTTTTTATTTTTATTCAAATCGTTATAAATATAATACAGTATATAAGTAATTACTGTTTTGATCAATGATAAGTAACGCAGTATTGCAAGAAGTTTATTCAAATCCACAATTTATCTTATCAACTAATCACTATTGTCGTTATCACTAAATCATCAACAAATTTCATAGGTAAATTTAGTATTTCTTATATTGTATTTTAATAGCATTAATTTAACTCTACTATTAGCTGTTATGATAATGTTAATGATTTTTGTAGTAATTAATTAATTAGTTCTGCTAATTAAAATAAAAACTATAACTGAACTTTTTAGTGGTATAAATTTAGATTAAAAATCGAAATTTTAATAATATAAATTCGGCCACTAAGTTATTAAGTTTATTAACTGCGTAAAATTTCGAGAAAATAACAAAAGTTCCGTACACAGTTCGGATTTGAGCTAAATTAATTTCCTTTTTTTTTTAGTATTAAGCATTTCAGAAAAGATATTTTTAAATAATTACTAGAAAAGAAAAAAATGTTTGAAATATTTTGCGAATATATTTTTGCAAATTTCAAAAAAATATTTTCAAGTTGTAAAGCAAAAAAAAAAATTTTAAAATTCATTAATACAAAGAAGTGAATTTTTCTTTTTCTTCTTTTTTTTTAAAAAAAATGATATACTATTTTTAAAATTAATTAAATAATATAAATAATATTAAATATAATAAAATAATATTGATTGAGCATTGATTGATACAATAATCTAAGAAAAATCCAGTAATTAGCAGAAAGATCAATCATTAGTTCAATTATTTTAATGTAAATAAGATTATCATTAATTTAATTATTTAAGTTTCACAATAATCTAATTTTATAAATTCAATTAAAGATTTAATAGTTTATTGACGATAAATGAGTTTATTCGTTACAAAATGAATTTAATCAAGCAACCATATCAATAAACAATTAATTATAAGTGCTTATCAATTCAGCTAAATTAAATTAAAAAATTTATGATAAGAATTGAATTGACAAATTGAGTTGAAAATAAATGCATTGAATTCATTTCATTGTTAAATGAATTTAATTTCTTTATCAATCGGTGTCTCATATTTGTATGCTAAAAATTATTTATCAAATAATTTTTAATTAACTGATAAGGCTACTTGTCTAATTTGAAATTTCACTATTATTTACAAAAATTATTTTAATTAATTAAACAAAAATTATATAATAATAATTAAATTAATTAGTAATAAATTAACATACATAATCGAACATATCTGATACATTTGTGTCCATCAAGTTCAAAACCAAGTGCTGTACATAATAATGGCATATCTTGATTTCTTACACCTTGTGCCATCTTTAATTAATCATTTTCAACGAACTTAATTAATTAATTAATTAATTTTATCATTTTAAATAATAAATGTAAAACAATTATTAATTCTAATTCTTATCTAATTTAAATTAAAAGAAAATAAATTACAAATATACCATATTCAAAATACATTGTCCAGTATCTGAATCAAAACTCCATGGTGCTTCACAACAATCTGGCATCGCAAATGATCCTAAAATTTTAAATTTTATTTCATACATTTAAAACATAAATGAATTTATCATTTATGCATTTTGAAAAAAGTAAAGTAAACAATTTGTTTGTTTGTTTGTTTGTAATTTTATTTTTTATGATTAGATGTATGTTGTGAGTTGAAAATTTTGGATTATTTACCTAATTAACCAAATAGTATTATAAATTTAATTAACATATGACTAAATGTATGTCACAAATTGTCAATTGGAATTATTTACCTAATTAGCTAATTAGTATTATAAATTTAATTAACATAGGACTAAATGTATGTCACAAATTGTTAAATTGGAACTATTTACCTAATTAGCTAATTAGTAATATAAATTTAATTAACATATGATTAAAATTATCCTAATTAGCTATTATTAGCTAATTAATATTATAAATTTTATCAACATATGAATTAGCTAAATAATTATAAATTTAATAAACAAATAATGCTAATCTCTTGCAGGGAAATGATCGATAATTTGCGGTGCAGTACTTTGCACTGTTTGACATAAATGCAATTGCATGCATAGCAATAATTGCAGAAAAAATAATAAAACCACCGTATGACGCATTCTTCATACTATTTAATTGTTACAATTACTTTTCTTTTCATATTTCGATAATAAAATGAGTAAAAATTTGCATAACAAAGGGAGAAAGAGAGAGGGAAAGAGAGGGGAAGAGAGAGAAGGAGAGAGAGAGGAGTTAAAAGATAAAGCAAAAATTAGAATTGAATTTAATTTTTTCTTGAAAAAAATGCTCTAATTCAAGAAAGGGAAAATAAAGCAAAAGTTATAAAAAGAAAAAAAGGAGAAAAGTTAAAATAAAAATTATAACTGATTTTAATTTTTCTAAAAAAAAGCTTAAATTCAATCAATTAATAAAAAAAGTGTGAAAAATTTAAGTCAAAATGTAAATTTCTAATAATATAAGAATGCAAACGATATTCATTTAATTATTTAATTAATAAATGATCATTAGTTAATTTAATTACTCATTTTTTGATAATTTGATGTGTAATCAATGTTTGTTATCATTATCACTGATATGATATAACGTCAATGAATGAATTATCATTGTGTTAAATACTAGTCAATTCGTTAATTTATTTTTCATTTTAATTAGTTATAACTGAAAAGAATAAAAATGATATTTACTCAAATATATATTAATATAATTTATCATTTTCAGTAATTTTTAATTTATTTAACTGTCACTTTTCTAATTTTAATTTAGCATTTATTATATATTTAATAATTTAGCATTAGATGTTAATGATTTTTTTAAAAAAAAATTTTTTTTTTTCATAATATTTAATTATATATATTACAATAAATTGTTATTTATATTAAATTGAAATTTATTTAACTGTTGCTTTTTTCAACTTCAATTTAGCATTATCAAAAAAATTTTTTTTTGTCATACTTCAAAAATTAATCATTGAAATGTTTGAAATTGATCTGTTTCAATTTAAATTCAATTTAAGATATCATTTCAATACCATTTACAAATCTGTAATTTCAATTATTGGTAAAGAAAAGAGGATGAAATTGGGTGGGTAGGCTTTCTTCCCTTTTTAAATCTTTACTGACCTAATTATCAGCATACTTTTTTTTTTTTTTATCTTTTATAAAATATTGTTTATTTCTTTTTCAATTCAAATTCTACTTGCTTACCATTCTTTTTTTTTTTTTTTTTATTCAATTCATCCATTTTTTTCTCTCTCTCTTTTTTCTTTCTTTCTCTCTCCCTCTCTCTCTCTCTCTTTTATAAAATTTAATTCTTTCCATCTAAACCTTGTCCTATTTGCCCACTTTTCACCTACCTAATCACCGAATCTTATTTCTTTTCTTTCTCATTTCTTCAACGAAATTTTAAATGTCACATTTATTTAAATGTATTATCACTGATAACCGTTTGTTATTTTTATCAATCTTTTAACAAAATTTACTTTCACTAATTTCAAATTTATGATAAAATATGTAATTTATTGAATTTTTCATTTTTTCATTTCTTTTTTTCTCAATCTGTAAAATTTTCAAAAAAAAAAAAGTGTAAAATCGTGTGAAATTTTAAATCTTTTTAAAAATTTTATTGACCTTTTTGTAATGTAATTTAAGATAATAAAATTATTTATTTTAATTTTATAAGTGATAATAAAACTTTTAGAAGAAATTAAATGATTTCAATGATTGCATATTTAAATTAAAATATGGAATCAATTCTTGAAATTAGAATTTGTACTTATTCAAAGTAGAAAAAAAAAATGAACTCTGAGATCTTTGTTCCTTTTTGCTTGATTTAATTTCATTATATTTCAAAAAAAAATTTTTTTCATGTTTAATCGTTTCTTTAGAAATTCTTTTTCTCATTCATTTAGTGTCATCAATTAATTAATAATTTTTCTAATATATATGAATTAATTCAATTTTTTATAAGAAATCTGAAAATTTCTTTTTTTTTCTCGAAGTAATAAAAATAAAATTAGGTGACAGAATGCATTCATCTAATAGAAAACATTAAATCGCTCAAAATTATTTCATAAATAAATCCATCGAATAAGTCAATCAATTTATACATTTATTCAATAATTTCAAATTTAAATATTTAAATAGCAAATTTTATAAGTGATAGTAAAGTGATAATAAACATTAACAAAATTTTTAGTTCATCGTTTCATTGTTATGTGACAGATAACAATATAAATTGCAATATATCACTCAAAATTTTCAATTTTATCAAATAAATTTTATCAAATAAAAAAATTAATTTTATCAGATAATTAATTTTATCAAATAAAAAAGTAAGCAAAAAAAAAATTTTTTTTTGAAATATGCTAATGCGAAAATTTATAAATTATGTTCATTAAATTTCATTTATTGAATTAACTAAAAGAATAAATTAATTTTAGCTAATATTGTAATTAAAACAAAATGGTAGTTTATATTTTTATATTTATATTTAAAAAACAAAATGGTAGTTTTTTATATTTAAAATGGTATTTATATTAAAAAAAAAAAAAATAAAATAAGAAGTCTTTAAAATTCGTAAAATAATTGGGAATCAAAAAATTTAGAACATTTTAAATGTTTAAAATTTTTTAATCATTTAAACTGATTACAATCATAATTCATATCATTGATCTCTTTGTTTTTTCTAATTTCAAATGTCAAAATTGATTAAATATTTATATTTAATTGTACTTTTCTTTTTTTTTTTTTTAATTTCAAAAGGTATTTTTATATGAATGCAAAATGTTTTTGTTAATTTTTATTTTGGTAGTTGCAAAGAAGTGTCAATATAGGTAGGAATTTAATAATAGAAAGAAGGAAGGAATGAATAAATGAATGAAATTAGGATGAAATGGTAAATGAAGAACGGAGATGACAGAGGGTTATTGACTTGAAAACGATAAGAAATGAAGGTGTGAATGCTGGCGCAAACTGTTACTTCATTCATTCTAATCATTTTCACTAAAATATTTGTGTATGATGATGATGATGATAATAATAATAATAATAATATGACATTCATTAATGCTATTACTAACCAATGACCTAAATTTGAACTTAAATATATTTGATAAGATAAAATTTTATGAATAAAATAACATAAAATATAATAAATAAAATACGGTGACATATAATTATATATTTATAAATATATAATATATGCATCAGTAAACAATCGAATAGCGCAAATATGCAAGTAGTAAATGAATTGAAACGAAGAGGAGGAAAAAAGAAGAAAGAAGAAAGAAAATTATGGAATTTAGAAGAAAAATGCACATGAATAGAGGCAGTAGTAGTGTGCGACAATTGCGCCATTACTTTTATATGCCATTGAAAAAGCTAAAAGATAAATTGAATAAAACTATTTGAGGTTTTCATAAATTTTTGTCCTTCTATATATCATTTACTCGAGCAATTAATAATAATAATGTAAGATAATAATAGAATTATAATAACAATAATAATATTGCATGACAATAACGTAGTAATAACTATAATAATAGTTAATAATGATAGTAACAATAATAATAATATATGACAAAAATGTAATAACCACATAATAATAATAATAATTAATGATGATAATGACAATAATAATAACAGTGCAGTAACAGTGCTGATAATAACAACAAAAGTAGTAATAATACTGATCCTAATAATAATAATAATGATAATAATAATAATAGTAATAATAATAATAGTAATAATAATAATAATAGCAGTGATTTATTCAGAATGAAATTTTGAAAATTTACAATTGTTTGATTTTTATCGCTATTGTTTTATTCTTACCTAATTCAATAAATGTTTTATATTTTTAAATTTCATATTTAATTAGCAATTATTTTTCCACTCAATTTTTCCATACTTTTTCACTTGCAAAAAAAAATTTTTTTCAATAAGATTAAAACAATTAAATTAGCTCTTTCCGATCATTTTTCTTTTCTTCAATTTCACTAGGAAATTATTTTGTAATGTTATTTCTTTTAAAACATTTTATGAATTAAAGTATTTAAATAAAGAATTTGTATTTCAAGCATTTTAAATTATTGTTGAATTGATTTAATTATTATATCTTACATTTAATTAGCAATTCCTATTCTTTCTTTTCCTGAATTTTAAATGCAACTAATAAATATGTAAAATTTCATACTTTAGTCTAAATTGGAACAATTTTTATTAATTTATAAATGAAAATTGGTTAAAATCCGTTAATGGTGTGAAATATACACAAACAATTAGGTCAACAAATTTATTAAATTTTATTAAAACATTTTAAAAGTTATTATCGCTTCAACAAATCATTTTTTTTTCTCTTTATTAAGCATTCTTTCTTCATTCATACTTCTCGTTTGTTTGTTTTTTTTTTATTAAATTCAATTAATATATTAAATTCATATTAAATTCAATTACTATATTAAATTCATATTTAATTCAATTACTTCAATTACTATTTGAACTTTTTTTCAGTTTAAATCGAAATATTTTCCTGAACACTTACAAAATATTCGTAGCCAAGAAGGTTGCATCGTTTTATATTTCATTTACGTAAATAAATTTAAAAATATTTTTTGTGATCTGTTGATGAACATTTAATCATATATTATCGATAAGCTTTAAATTAAGAATCCTTTGATTATTCTCCAATAAAAATACAACGACTATTTAGCAATGAATTTTAATTTAATAATTAAATTATAAAGACGTCTAAACGTTTACCTTAAACGTTTTTTTCTTTTTATGATCTGTCGATGATATCGATTAAGCATATTTATCGTTGAATTTTAAATTAATAATTTTTTAAATATTCTCTAATAAAATTATAAAGACGTGTAAACGTCTACTTTAAACGTTTTTTTTTCAATGATAAAAGTGATTATTCAATAAATATTGATAGAGTAAATATTTAAATTAAGGTAAACAATTTATCAGTGATGTTTTTCCTTTCTTTCTCTCTCTCCCTCTCTCTCCCTCTCTCGATACTCCCTTTATCTGATTAGATTCCTTCTACGTGATTATTTGTCAAATTGCTGAAATGATTAGTGATAGTAGGTCAGGGTCACAGTTACGTATGCCGTAGCACAGATTCCGTCCCTTAGATGGCCATCAACACCCCTCTCGTCAGTGACCCCTTCCGCAACACTTAGGTTTTATCATTTTGAAATTTACTTTATATCATCAATGATTCATCAATTCTAATTAGGGATGGATCATTACAATCGGTTTATAATTAAATTTGTTAACCATTTTGTTGATTAGAACGCCCTAATTTCATCGTGTAATTCACAAAATGACATATAAGGAATGTTCCCTTAAATTTTAAGTGGAATTTAATATGAGGAAAAGATTGAAATAAGCAGAGAAGACGGAGTAAAAATTTTATTCTAATATTAAATTTTAGTTTTGCTTATCTATCGGACAAATTTTATTTCAAATTTTTTGCATTAAACTAGTTTCTTCCTTTATTTGTGATAAGATATTTTGCAATTAAATTCATTCCTTCTATTAATAACATTTAATTATCTTTAAATTTAATTGTTTCATTCAATTTCTAAGAGATTTATCGTTGGCTTAATTTAATGCAAATCTATTATTATCGTTTGTATTTTAATTATTCAAATATATTTGGAATTAATCAAATATCATTGGATTAATTTGTGAATTGTAGTTTAAAATATTTCATTTCATTTTGCAAATTGCAAGTAACATTGTTATCTTCCAATAAATATATGAAATGATAATTTCAATTTTTTTATTTAAATAATTTTTCAAAAATAATAACTTTAAATATTTTTAAAAACCATAAATCTGTAAGATTGAAGAGTTACAAGCTTAACTTTATAATTGAGTAGAAAGAATTATTTATAACAATATATCATTTGTTTGATTTTTTCTTTTATGTTAATTTAAATTTTAAAATTGTTATGTTTTTTTTTAAATTTCCATGTCTTTATTTTACTTTATTTTTTAGCTAAGTAACACAATTTATGATTTTTTATAATTTCCAATAAATTTTGATAATTTATTGCAAAGCTTTTTTATTTCACTTAGTAATAAATCAAAATATTTAAATAATTCTCTAACTTCTGAATTACTATTAATTCTTTGCTTTTTTTTTTAAAAAAAAAGAGGAAGAAAAGCTATTTTAGTTGTTTTATCTTTTTCATTTCATTAATTGACAAATTATTTTCAAAACTTTAAAATAAAAATGCATTGCACAGATGCATTTTGATTAAAAATTAAAATCAGAAATTAAAATCAAAATTTAAAATCATAAAATATTTTTCATCTTAAATGTTATATTAACTTTATAAATTTAATTATTGCATTTATAATTAATTACTCACTCATTGTTTTTCATAATTTTAGACATTTTCTGAAATGATCAATCTCTAATTTTAATTTTTCATTATCAAAAAATGATAATTTATTCGTTTTAAATAATTTATTCAAATCAATGCAATATTTTCATTTTTATTTTTAATATATTGTCATTGTTACTATATATTTATAATCATTTTTTTTTTTTTTTTGATATAAAATTATAATTTTTTCATTTGTAAAAATTTTTGTGTTAATTTTGTTTTTCATTCAAATTAAACAGTTATTGTCAAATTGTTATAAAATTTTAAATTTATATAATTTTCTTTTTTTTTTTTTTTTTTGCTAAGGAATTCACTTAGACACCTATTAGTGACCTATTTGATGACATTATATGGATGACACACACATACACATACACACCTACACACATACACACCTACACATACACACATACACATACACACATACACACCTACACACATACACACATACACACCTACACACATACACACACACACATAAACATACTAAATTTAAAAAATATTTGTTTTCTTTCATTGATGGTAGATAACAGTGTGAGCTAAATTGAAAATAAAATATTTAAAAATTAAAAGAGAAATAGTAATATTACAAAAAAAAAAAAAAAAGTTCCAATAATAATTTCCGAATAGGAACGAATTTTTTTTCATTGTTACTGTTTTACCGGATTATATATCCGGTAAAATGGAAATTTCATATTGTTGTAAAATTTGTTTATCTATATGAAATGATAAATGATGGAATATTCTAAGATATAAAAATTTATGCTTCTATTTAATAATAATTTTTGCTAATATTATTTTCATTAGCAGTTTCAATCTTTAATATCAAATCGTTATCAGTTATCATTTCTAATCATTAATAGTTAAAACTAAAAAAAAAAGTTGTAAATACTAATCGATTTTGATTAATATGCAAAATTGACTTAAGGTGCTAAATTTTCAAAAATTTAAATTTGCGTTTTTTAAATAATTTTATGAATTTGATAAAATTTTTTTTTATTATAAACATTTTAGAAATTTGTAAATCGAGCATATGAAGGCTTTGTTAGCCCAAGTGGTACTTGTCATCTTCTATTGTACTACCATTACTGCGGCTATTAAAACAAGTAAGATTAAATTAATTTAATTTAAATTTTAATTAGTATATCTAACAATTTTGAAAACAAAAATAATCGAATCGATTTTAGCTTTCATATGTATATAAATAAGAAGTTTGATAATTTTGGTAAAAAAAAAATTGAAAAGTAAAGTAATAAAATTAATTTGGCTTTAGGTTAATTAATAATAATAAAGAAAAAATTTGAACCTAAAAAAATATTCATTTGATAGATGTAAACATTTTGATTATTTATTTAATATGTTTAGAAAATTTTGATTATTGATCTGAAAAAATATATATCAAAATGATGTTTTGCTATATTTTTTTTGATAAAATTATGTAGATGTAATCAATCATTACTTTATTATCATTGAATAATTATTACTTAAAGACAAATATTTATTGATAACTGATAGGTAATTAATTTAGATACTTAAATTAATAAGTAATTAATTTAGTAATTAATTTAGATGATGTAAATCTATGCAAACGACAGCCTTTTCGAGGTCGATGTCCTGCAGTAGATGGAAAAGGCCCAGCACGTTCGCAGTTTGTGTTACGTTACTATCTGAGGGATAATGAATGTGTCTCCTATCCTTTCGGTAAGTATTACTTTTAATACTGTAAGTAGAAATTATAGAGTTAAATAAATACCACTTGGCTCTTTATCATCTAACAAAATTATAGAGTTAAATAAATGATACTTGGCTCTTTAGCATCTAATGAAATTATAGAGTCCAATAACTGATACTTGGCTCTTTATCACCTAATAAAATTATAGAGTTATATCATTTGGCTCTTTAGTATCTAATGAAATTATAGAGTTCAATAAATATCACTTGGCTCTTTAGCAGCTAATGAAATTATAGAGTTCAATAAATGATACTTGGCTCTTTATCATCTAATAAAATTATAGAGTTAAATAAATACCACTTGGCTCTTTATCATCTAACAAAATTATAGAGTTAAATAAATGATACTTGGCTCTTTAGCATCTAATGAAATTATAGAGTCCAATAACTGATACTTGGATCACCTAATAAAATTATAGAGTTATATCATTTGGCTCTTTAGTATCTAATGAAATTATAGAGTTCAATAAATATCACTTGGCTCTTTAGCATCTAATGAAATTATAGAGTTCAATAAATGATACTTGGCTCTTTATCATCTAATAAAATTATAGAGTTAAATAAATATCACTTGGCTCTTTAGCATCTAATAAAATTATAGAGTTCAATAAATGATACTTGGCTCTTTATCATCTAATAAAATTATAGAGTTAAATAAATATCACTTGGCTCTTTATCAACAAATGAAACTGTAAAGTTAAGTAATTAGCACTTGGCCTTTTTTCATCTAGTGAAAATTATAAAGTTAATTAAGTAATTCTTAGCTTTTTATAATCGAATAATTTATAAATAAGATTAAATTTTTGGTTAAAAAATTAAAAAGAAGTAAATTCATATTTTTAATTTCAAAATATTTTTAATTTCTTGCAACAAAAAGGATTGTAAAAAAAGTGTTTTAAAATTATGCTTTGAATTGTTGAAAAGATCAAGAATTATTATTATTGTCTTTTTTTTAATTTTTATTTTAGTAAAAAAATTTTTTTTTTCTTTAATTTCAGGTCACTGTGCAAATGATGAAAATGAACCAGTATTGTATAGATATAAAGAAGAATGTGAAAAAGCTTGTCTAAATAAATCGCCTACTAATGATCAAAGTACAACAATTCAAAATGATCATGAAATAGAAAAATCAGCAAATTCATTAATAAGTAGTGAAATTACTGATAATGATAAGGATAATGATAATGATAACGATAATGATATCAATGTGCAGATCAGTACTACATCATCATCATTTCCAATAATTGATAACAATAATAATAATACTACTACTGCAACAATATCATCACAACGAGCTGCATTTATTGCTCAAAAAAGTAAATCTCACAAGTTACTTACTGGTATGTTAAATTTAATGTTTAATTAATCCTTGTTATAAGTAATGTAGTATTACTAATGCTAGTAATAAGTAATAAAATGAATTAAATAGTAATAATTATAATATAAAATTAACTAGTAATTAAGTAGTAATAATAAAATTAAATAGTAATAATTAAATCTTAGTAATACGTAATATAAAAAAAATTATTCCTTTTAATAAGTAATATAATATTACTAATCCTAGTAGTAAGTAATAAAATAATAATAAAATTAAGTAATAATAATAGTAATTTAATCCTAGTATTAAGTAATATATAAAAAAAGCTTATTTATAAATGCCTATTAAATTGAAATGAAAAAATTTTGTTTTCAATTGAAATTTAAATAATTAAAATTACATTTGAAGAATGCGAAAAACGTAGACAAGCAAGTGAATCAGGTCTTATCAAAAGTGATTTCATTCCAATTTGCGCCACTGATGGTACTTTTCGGCCATTGCAATGCGAAACTCAACGTGAAAATTGTTTTTGTGTGGATCATAATGGTATTAAAATACCAAATTCAGATTCTAATGGTACCAAAAAACCGGACTGTAAACGTTTGTCTTTTTTCTTTTTTTTTTTTGTTCCGGCAAAATAATTCATTTTTAATTTTACAATTTCTTCGTCTAACTATCATTTTTCACTTTTATTACTTATTTAATTCATTTAATTTTATCAAATAATAAACAAATGATGCATTATGCATTAAAAGATTAAAAATAATTGAATTTTCTTTTCTTTTTTTTTTAGATAATTAATCGAAATTTTGTGAACAAAAATTTTATTACATTAATTAAAACTAAAATTTAAATATGTAATAGTTTGTAGGAATAATAAAAGCGCAAAAGTCATTAATCTATGAATGTTTATCACCAATGGATTCTGGGCCATGTAATACAGCAATTAAAAGATGGTATTATGATACTCGAGAACGACAATGCATTAAATTTGAATATTCCGGTACATTTATTTACATTTTCTTTTCTTTTTTTATTTATTTTCAAACTGTAAACATTAGATTTAGATTAGCATTAATTATTTGAATACTAATTTAACAAATTCAAATTATTAATCCTTTCATAAAATGGATTATTTTCAAATATTTCCTTAACATTGATAATTTATCTTAATCCTAAATAAAAAATCGCTATAAAATGGAATAAGTAAGTTAATTTTTCATACGCCAAAATGAAAAATAACTATAAAATGGAATATAATTCATCTTAATCCTAAGTTAAAAAATAATTATAAAACAGAATAAAGTTAATTTTTATCCTAAATTAAAAAATAGCTATAAAATGGAATATAATTTATCTTAATCCTAAATTAAAAAATAATTATAAAATGGAATTAGATATAAGGTATAATTGAATTTTTTAAAAGAAATTTAAACGAAATTATGCAATATATTATTTATCAAAGTATTAATTAATTAATTAATTAATTAGGTTGCGGTGGTAACGGTAACAATTATCCAACCAAAGAAGCATGCGAAAAACAATGCAAATCAACAAGCAATGAGCCAAAATGTAAAGGTGGCTTGCAACCATTACGGAATGAAAATGATCAGTTGGTGAACTGCACCGAGAGTACCTGTCCGAATGGTTATTTATGTTCGGTAGCACAACTTGGATCAGTCTGTTGTCCAATTAATGCATCTAGCAGTAAGCTTTTATATCAAAATAAAAAATTCAAAAAAAAAAAAACCTAAAATTGTAAACTTTAAATATTAAATTATTATTTATGCTTTGAATATTAAAATTAGTAAATTACTACTTATACAATAGTATTAAATAAAATATTATTCAAATTGTAGTATTAATGTGTAAGAGAATAGATAAAAATATTAATTTCTATTAATTACTCAACTTTTTTTTTCAGTTTTTTTATTAAGAATAAAAATATCGTATTTATATCTAAAGTTATGTATTATTTTTTTTTTTTTTTTTGTTAGAAATTTTTAGAAATGTTTATTGTATTTTATTGAAATATTAAATAATAATTATTTATTATATTGTCATTTAAAAATATTCAAATTATTCTAGATTTTATTTTTTTTTTTATTTTTATTTTTTAATTTTATTATTTCTATTTTTATTTTATTTAATTCTAATGAATATATTTTAGGTGCTACAACTAATATTTGTCAACTTCCAAAGGAACGTGGTCCTTGTGATCAGTATGAGCTTCGATTTTATTACAACAGCCGTCTCGGCGAATGTAAATATTTCTTTTTTGGTGGTTGTGAAGGCAATGCAAATAATTTTGAACGTGTGGAAGAATGTGAACGTATTTGTCGACAACGTTTGTTTTGTTTAATTCTTTTTAATTTAATTTAAAATATTATTATTATCATTATCATTACAACAACTTTATCTTTTTTTATTATTTCCAATTTAATTTTAATATCTTATTATTATCATTATCATTGCAACATTTTATCATTCTTTTTTATTTCCAATTTAATTTTAATATCTTATTATTATCATTATTACAACATTTTATCATTCTTTTTTATTATTTCCAATTTAATTTTAATATCTTATTATTATCATTATCATTATAACATTTTATCATTCTTTTTTATTATTTCCAATTTAATTTTAATATCTTATTATTATCATTATCATTACAACATTTTATCATTCTTTTTTATTATTTCCAATTTAATTTTAATATCTTATTATTATCATTATCATTACAACATTTTATCATTCTTTTTTATTATTTCCAATTTAATTTTAATATCTTATTATTATCATTATCATTATAACATTTTATCATTCTTTTTATTATTTCCAATTTAATTTAATATCTTATTATTATCATTATCATTACAACATTTTATCATTCTTTTTTATTATTTCCAATTTAATTTTAATATCTTATTATTATCATTATCATTACAACATTTTATCATTCTTTTTTATTATTTCCAATTTAATTTTAATATCTTATTATTATTATTATCATTCTTTTTTAAAATGAAATTATTTGCTACATTTTTTATTAAATTAAAGAAAAAAAAAAGAAACAATGAAAGCAAATAATATTTTATTAGTATAATAAATTAATAAAAACATTTTTAGGTGGTGTAAAAATTACTGCAACATCAATTGTATCAGCACCTCAGCTAATAACATCTGGACCACAAATGCGAAAGCTTAACAAAGAATTTGGAATAAAAAATATTAAAAAAACTGGTGAAGAGAAAGAATTAGTAGAACTGATCAGTAATGATAATGATAATGGTGATGATGATAATGATGATGATGATGATGATGATTCAGCAGCTAGCACAAATATTTCAAATGATATCAAAAATATCAATAATGATAATACTGCTGATACTACTACTACTACCACTACTGATAACAATAATGAAGCTAATTTAGAAATCACATCGTCAACAACAATATTTCATGATAGATCAATGATAAATAAAAATTTATCTGCAAAAAATAGCATTAATCAAAGTAAATCACATCAATTGCAAAAAATTGATCAAAATATTGAAAAGAAAATTAAACAAAAAGGAACAAAATTATCATTTGATAGTAATCGTACTGATAAAATCACTGATTTTACAACTGTCAAAACTAAGAATACAATTGCAACAATTGATAAATCAGAAAAGTTTACTACATCAAATAGAAATGAACAAAAATTGGCAAGTGAATCAGTTGCAATCACTACTGATCAACAATTATCTCAAAGGTTTACTTTACTTTACTTTACTTTCTTATCTCTCTTTTCTCTTTCTATTCTATTCTATTCTAATATTTATAAGGTAATATACTTTATAAAAGTTATTTTTTTTATTCTATTCTAGGGTTTATCTAACAGGTTTACTTTACTTTCTTATCCTTTTTCTTTTCCATCCTATTCTATTTTGTAAGGTAACACATACTTTATTTACTTTATGAAATTTATTCTTTTTGATTTTCTTATTCTAGTACTTGTCTATTAGGTGTACTTACTCATCCTCTTTCTATTCTATTTTATTCTATTCTATTCTATTTTAATCTATTCTATTTCGTTCCGTAACAATTACGAGGTGATATATATATTATAAAATTTATCTTTTTGATTTGTTCTATTCTATTCTATTCTATTCTATTCTAGGATTTGTCTAATAGGTTTACTTCACTTTCTTATCCTTTTTCTATTCTATTCTATTCTAGTATTAAAAGATTATTATTATTGTTTTATAGTGACGAAGAGATGAAAATAATTACATCAACAACAAAGACAACAGTAGAAAGCTTATCAGATACATTCATTTCAACAGCATCAGCTTCTTCAATTGCTTTATCTCCCAGTACAATCATAATTACCACAACCTCACAATCAATTTTATCAACAACTACACAACCAACTGCAAGTAAGTTGCTATTTTTTTATTTTTAAATTAAATTTATCAAAATCATTAATTTCAGAAATAGTTTCTTTTTAAAAAAGAAATTCTACTTTAGATTACATTAAAGATAAAAAATATTGCAATTATTTATTTAAAGATAGCAATGATCGATGCTTTCAAAAATTTGATCGAGGTACATGCACTGGACAATTCATTCGATGGTATTGGGATTTTGAAAAAAGCACCTGTCAAGTATTTACTTATTCTGGTTGTGGTGGAAATGGCAATAATTATCGTAGCCGAGAAGATTGCTTTGCTGCATGTCATCAACCTCGTAATTTTTGCTTGTTTATTTATTTTTCTGTTTGTTTATTTGTTTGTTTGTTTGTTTGTTTATTTGTTTGTGTGTTTGTTTGTTTGATTCTTTATACATGATAATTCTATCATTATTTACATTTTCATTATAATTTCTAGCACAACCAACACCAAAACTGGATAATATCTGTGAGCACAGCATTCATCCAGGTGATTGTACCGGTATCTTCCAGAGATTTGCTTTTGATTCGACAATTAATGATTGTCGACCATTTACATATACTGGCTGTGGCGGTAATGGCAACAACTTTGGAAGTTCATTAGAATGTCGCAACAGATGTATCGTACAAAGTTTGTACTACAAAATTTTTTAACTTTATTTTTGGTAACAAAAAAAAAAGAGAGAAAAAAATAATAATAGTAGGAGATGTAATAAGTAACATTTTAAAATATTTCAGTATCAAGCTAAGAAAGCTTAATTCTATTTATCACAATAGTTTATTCAATCACAACAAAAAATTGTCTTGAAATGCTTTATATTGTCACATGACAGATGTCATTTTGATCTGATTAGATCAGATCAGATCAATCTTTTTAATGATTATTTTTAGAACCAACACTGTCAACTGATGTATGCAAGCATCCAATTGAAGTAGGTGAATGTTCTGGTGTTTTCCCGCGATTTGCATATGATCTGGTAGCTAATGAATGTCGACCATTTACATACGGTGGTTGTGGCGGTAATGGTAATAATTTTGGATCAATGCTTGAATGCAAAACAAAATGTGTTCAAGGTTAGATTATTTTTGCATTTTCTCATGTGACATTGATAGGAAAATATATTTGTCAAACTTAATTATTCGCTATTTAATTAATAATTTAATTATGTTATCAATAATTATAGGATCAGATGAATTAGTGAAATGTCCCACAATAGATGTATCATTATGCGTTGAGCCATGTATTTTATTCACAAATCGTCAAGGCTGTCATGAGTGCAAATGTCCAATTGCGCATTCTGAAATTGATAATGAACCAATTGAACCATCTGTAATCACTTCCACTTTGATATCTGATAAATCATCAGATGAATCGAAATCACTTGAAGCTGAACAATTTATTGGTAATTCTATTTATATTCATTGATAGCTACTTTTTTTCTTTTTTCATTTAATTCTATCAAATATTAACAAATGATGCATTAAGCATTAAAAGATTAAAAATAATTGAATTTTTTTTTGAAATAATTAATTGAAATTTTTTAAACAAAAATTTATTTAATGATAAACTTTAGAAAATAAGGTGGAAAAGAAACATGGATCTATGTCACATTCCGGAAGAACTTCACAAACAAATTCGGTAACTGAATTAGGTGAAAAATGCTCACAACCTATGGTGCGTTATTGTAATTAAAAATTGATTTTTTTTTTAAAAATTTAAAATTTTTTTTTAAATTTTGTTTTTTAAAATTTTAAACTTATAAATGTTAAAATTATCCGTTTTTTTTTTTTTTTGAACTTTTGTTAAAAGTTTATTTGATAATGATATAATAAACAAAAATGATAAAATATTGAACAAACTTCGATTATTTAAAATAATGATAATTTTATATTTTTATATGAGATATTTTATTAGGATGCTGGACCATGTAAAAATTTTATCGAACGTTGGTTTTTCAATATTAATACTAGTTTATGTCAATCATTTCAATATGGTGGTTGTGCTGGTAATCGTAATCATTTCTTCTCAAAACATGAATGTGAAATACATTGCGCTCGATTTTTCAGTAAGTTTTTCTTTTAATATATTTATAACAAAAATTTTCAATAATGCATGGCAATTTTTTACTTTTTTTTTTACTAAATTATTTTAAATGCACTGAATTGCACATTGAAATAACTTTATATTACATTCATTTTTTTTTTTTAAATTATTTTGCGCACAAAGAAGCATTTTAGAAAGAAGCATGAAAAGAGATATATTTGATAAATTAAAGAAAGAAAAAGGCTCGTTTTATCACTAAAAATATATCATTTTAAATTAATCTAATTTAATGTTATTCATCACTTCCACTAAATACACTAAACTAAATTATATAATTTATCATTGAAATTACTTTATATTACATTCATTTTTTGTTTTCCTAATGAATTTAATTCTATTTTAAAATTAAATTATCATTGACGGAAAGCAAAAAAAAAAAAAAAATTTGAAATAAGCCAAAGCATCTGTTTAGATGGACGCACAGGTCGTAGAAGAATAGCAGCTTATGAAAGTGTCACACATACCTCACAATTTAACACTCTCACCGGGTCGCAATCAACAAAAATATTAAATGAGCATGATGATATTGTTGATAATAAACAACAAAATATTTTACAACAATCATTCACAAATGTTATCACTAATAATTCTCAGCAAAATTTATCTAAATCTAATTTGGAAGATGGAAAGCATATCAAAGTGAAATTGGATGATACAGCAATTGAAAATATTGCAAAAAGTTCTATAAGAAGGCATCAACAACATCAACAACAAAAACAGCAACAACAGCCTTTGTCTATTTCTTCAGGACACAAGATAGATAGTTCGGTAATAAATAGTAATATTCCGGAAAAATCTATCATTCCTGATGATGACAAACTAATACCGATGATAGTTACAAAACAGTATGGTATAAATGACAAACGAATTGATAATGACTGGAAGGCAGTCATTAGTAATACTCAAAATAATTCTACACAAATGATCAATGCATTAAGATCAGAGATTAGTACTCCTAAAGATAGTTCGTCATCGATGATGAATTCATTTGATTGGAATAACGATGATTTAGCTCATCAACAGAAGCAATCACAGATTATGACAGTTCAGGGAATCGATATTTCACAAATTCAGAATGAATTATCAAAGCAGCAAAAACATAATGCGCAAATGTCTCAACATGAGATGGTAGAAGATATCACTTCATTAAAATCAAATCTATTCGACAATCATCTTGCTAAGCAAATGATTACAGATTTTGTTACAACACAAAATTCGAAACTATCAAACGATGAGCAATTAATAAATTTGCCGCAAGCGGAAATGTCTGGAATGCAAATAGATCAAACGGTGATGATTGATCATGAAAATAAATTTGAAAAACGGAAGCAAAATATTGCAACTAATGAAGCACTGATTAATAATGGCGCATTCAATAGGTCAGTAAATGATGATTACAGAATTTCTACTGATCGAAATGATGGAAGATTGATCTTGGACGAAGTGATTAAATCATCGAATTTCATTTCGCCAAAATTTGAAGCTAAGAACGAAGTTCATAAGCCATTGAACAATGTGAATGATCATTGGATGAAAAGCAAACAATTTACTGATACGATCACTAATGATTCTATCGTTGGTGATGCTAACACTCAGTTTGTAGCTCAAAAAGTAAATGATAATAAGACTTCGATCGCTTTAAATAAAGGATCAGCGAAACTTAATCGCGACTCAGTACTAAGACACCATGTACGTATTATTAACCAAGGTTCTGTACTAGAAACATCCTTCTCGTCATCACCAATATCACCATTATCACCATTATCATCATCGTTATCACCATCATCATCATCACCATCACCACCATCATCATTTACATTACCTTCAACATTATTATCACCAACTTCATTATCATCACAATCATCATCGCCAATTCTTTCTGATACTAAAACTGATCTTAGCAAAATTCAACAAAAATTTCATACTAGTATATCAGATAAGAATAAAAGTTTTAATGGTAAGCATATTAACTAATTGATCAATTTTGATAATTATTCTCAACTTTTACTTGACAAAAAAATTTAAATCAAAAAATTTATCAGATTTAATTAACAAAATAGTGTTGAAAATCAAAAATAAACTTTATTTAGTTGTAAGGATTTGTCTTTTTCTTTTTTTAAAAAAAAAAAAAGTGGAAGAGATGAATGACTTGAAAAGAAAACAAAAAACTTTTTACTCAAATTTGTTTTTTCTCACTGAAAAAATTTAAGCGAGCCTTTACTAAGCTAATTACTAGCGCATGCTTTATATTATCAGCAAGATAGATGGATGCTTTAAAGCAGTAAGGATATTTTGATAAAGTTTATCTTTTAAATTTATCAAATCTCAAAGTTAATATTTTAAACAGTTTTGTTAAAAAAAAAGTTACTTTTATAATGGCAATATTGCATGACTAAGTAAGTATCATCTTATCACAAGCACTATCAATGCATGCACAAAGCACATTATCATTTTCAGGTGCACGAGCACGAGGTACACATCGCAAGCATGCAATTACTGAACAGATGATATCATCAAGTAGTGAAGAATTCTCGCATGAATCTTCTATTTCAATGCACACTAATGCACCTCAGTATAAGGATCAGAAATTGATTGCATCAAATGCTGATAATGAAATGATATTATCAGTAACACCAAATAATATTGATACTATTACAAATAGCATTAATGATAATGCTATTAGTATTACTCAAGAGCAATCAGATGAGGAATTGGATATGGATTCGAATGATTATAAAATCATTGATAAAATTGATTCGACATCACTCATTCATGATTCTTTAACAACTATTATTCCTATCACCACTACACCTGTAATGGAGAATATTCCTTTATCATTTGCTACCTTAAATTCTTCAGCAGCAACCAACAATAATCATTCCATTCGTTCGTCCCTTATTACCACCATTCCAGCATTTATCAATGAAACGTCAACTTTTTCTGATATGATAACAAAATCAAACCCAAATCCTTCTCAAATGATAATTTCAGAATCAACAACAATTGCTAGCAATAGAGTAGATGGATCATTTGAGTCATCCATTTCATCACAACCACAAATTCTTAGTCAACCTATTCCATCTGATAAATCATGGCTTTATGAGAGCTTACAATCAATTATTAATTCGCAGGTTCTATCGGAACAACAAGAAGAATTATCCGAAAAGAAGCTATCATTTGGCTCATTTAATACTTCAGGTGTAGCAACATTTAGCACAACTATTAGCAATAATAATAATAATAATAATAGCAATAGTAATATTAATAATAGTAATAACAATAATGATAATAGTAATAATAACTTTCCTGTGAGAACAACCATAATGAATCCGTTGAGAAAATTATCAATGCAAGCAAATAATTCATCTCTGTTATCAATTTCTACTCAAAAATTATCACCAAATATATTCGATACTACAGCTAGCAATGTTGAACAACAAACAAAGAAGCCAATAAAAGAATTGGAGAAGGAATCTGAAGAAGATCATTATTTCAACGTTGATTCATCGATTTTTATGAATGCTACCAATTTTCAAAAACCATCTCATACAATAATATCTCATAATCGAATTGAAAATAATGGTATCAGTACAATGATCGAACAATTAAACTTTCCTTTCAATGAAACAAAAGAAATGAAAAAGGAAAGAGGTGAAGGAAAAATTGGAACAATGAATTTATCACCATCATCGTTATCACCATCATTATCATCATCATCAAGAATTGATAGTAATATAAATTCAGGAAACACCACCATACATCCGCTTGTATCAGCAATTCAGGAATTATCAGAAGAAATGATTGCATCTGATGGAGAAATTAATTCCAATTCTCAATCTAATGCACTATTAAATGAAAAACATAGTGTAAACACTGTAGATGATTATAAATTGCACTCATTAAAGCACAAACAATCACAACAATCACTTCCGGAAAATCATAATGACATAACAGGCGAGCAATTTACGGTTGCACATGATGCACAATTCATGGTCAAAAGTATTCCTTACCGGACAACAATCAAACAAGGTTCATCTTTTGACCATTTATCAAACTGAATTGAATGTAAGAAGAGATATGGTGAAATTTAAAAAATAAAAAAAAATGAACTATAACAAAAGATTGTGATTCAATTTACAGGTGAAATTAATGAGATACTAAAAGATCAGACTACAATGAATGATGCACATGAAGAAGAAATGAGAATGGAATCGGAAATTTTAAATCAACAAAATATCACTAATGACTCACAAGTAATGCAGGTGACAACACCGCATGCAGTAGTGCATGCTGTCACCTCATTGCAACTTGAAAACGATGAAATATGCTTACTACCGCCAGATGCAGGTCCTTGCCATGATTATGTACTTCGGTGGTTTCATAATTCACAAACTGCAAAATGTGAACAATTCTCATACAGTTCATGCGGTGGTAATAATAATAATTTTCCTGATAGACATACTTGTGAAGCAAAATGCTCACATGGTTAGTGGTTTTAATTTAGAATTTCAATTTAAAAAAAATTTTAAATTATATAATAAAAAAAAAGCTATTCATCTATCATCATTTCTCTCTCTCCTCTCTCTCTCTCTCTCTCTCTCTCTCTTTTAGTTTCCTTAAAAATTATGCAAATGGAAATATCAATTTATACAAGAGAAAAAGAAAGTATTACTTTATAGATAATTCGATTAAGTCACAATTCTTTCTCTCTCTTTTAGTTTCTGTTTTTTTTAAATTATTTAAATAGAAATATCAAATTATACAAGAAAAAAAAGAAAGTATTACTTTATAGATAATTCGATTAAATCACAATTACCGGAACGATGTACCTATAAAAAAGATGAAGGTTATAGTAATGGGTATAATGTTAAGTGGTACTTTAACGTACGTAATTTACGATGTGAACAAATGGTATACAAAGGTCAAGGTGGCAATTCAAATCAATTTGAAACACTTGGCGAATGTCAAACTTTTTGCAT